GCATGCATGTGCAGGTGGGCCATTGTGCATTATGGAGGAAGCTTGGTATGGAATGAGTAATAAAAATTAGTGTGTGTGTGTGCGTGTGTGTGTGTGTGTGTGTTCATCCCACAGTGTCCATGTAGCAGCAAGAGGACAAAGCAGTTATCAGTTCTCTCCTTCCACCAGTGTGGTTCCTGAGAATTGAACTCACATCAGCATGCTTGGAAGCATGAACTTTTACCCATTGAGCCATCTTGCTGGTGCCTGAGAATCAGGATTTTAAGATGTCACATCTTCTCACAGTTCATGGCTCTCCCCTTACTGCCTGTGTTGCCCAAGGAATGTTTTTATCTTTCCTACTGTTCTTTTCAGATTGCTATACTTCATTTAAGTGGAAAGGATTAAGGGAAAACAATTAAATACTACTCTGTTAGTAACAAGAATCATATCAAGTTCTTCCCACTGCACTGGACTATATAGGGAATGCAGACTCTCTTCCTAATGTTGTAGGGTTATATATGGTGGAGTTATTTGTTATTAGTTACTATCAAAACATTGGTCAAAACTGCAAAGTTGGCACAATTTAAATCTTCCAAAATTTTCTATGAACTTCTGGTTTCTTCCTTTTCCTACTTTCCAGAGATTCTGGTAAGAAAGGAACATGACACTGGTGAGGTGGAGTACCATAGAGGAAATGCATCAGGGAAGGTGTTTTAGTTAGGGCTTCCATTTCTGTGGTAAAACGCCAGGACCAAAAGCAAACTGAGGAGGAAGTTTATAACTTTAAGGTCACAGTTTATCACTGAGAAAAGGAAGAACAGCAGAAAGAGGCGGATGATGAGGCTCCTATCAACTTGTTCCTCATGGTTTGTTTGTGCTGTTTTCTTATAGCACCAAATACTGCACCCCCAGTGGTAACACTGCCCCCTGTGAGACAGACACGACAACATCAATCCATCAGTGAAAACCAAACCAAACCAAACTAAACCAACCAACCAACCAAACAAACAAGCAAGCAAACAAACAAACAAACAAAAACAAAAACCCATAGACGAACCACAGAACAACAAAATGGTGGAGAACCCCTCTTCCCAAAAGACTCTAGTCTGTGGCAAGTTTACATGATAACCAGCCAGAACAGGAAGGAAGTCATCAAGGAAGTTATCGGAAACTTTTATGAACCTTGCCTCAAAAGCTTTCACTTAGGGTGCACAAAGAGACACTACAATAAGTGTAGGACCTAAGTATGAGGGCTATAGAAAGGAATCTTCTAATAATATGTTCATTCTATGCATGCGTTCTTTACTGTTCTCTGCTCTAATTCTTTTGTCCTAATTGTCTATAATTTCTTAGCTCTAATTCTCGGTCTCAATTCTAATTCCAATTCTAATTCTTTGCTTCATTCTTTTTTCTTCATTTTCCTACTTGCTTATTTTTCCTACCTTCTTACCCTTTTACATTTCTGCTAATTTCTACCAGCTTCTTCTTCTAGCTACTACCTCTCTCTAAATCTCTCAGTCCCTAGATGCTTGAAGCAAAAGGTAAAGGTTACAGAGGTAGCTTTTCTCATTGATCAGGAGCGTAATCCCAGGCTACATGATAAAGGCAGAGCCATTGCCATGGCAACATAATGTCCCAAGGCCATAGGAGCAAAATCGGACCAGACATGGAGGGTATAGTGCCCAGTGACAAATTTAAGACACAAATGTATTGTTGGTAGATTGGCAAGTGAAAAGTTGGCATGCTTTTCTTTTTTTCTTAATTTTTGAATTTTTTTCTTCCTTTTTAAAAATTTTAAGCTAGAAACAAGCTTGCTTTATGTGTCAATCCCAGATCCCTCTCCCTCCTCCTCCTTCCCCGCCTCCCACACCAGGTCCCCCAGTCCCCGACCCAATCTCCACTCCGATCCCCAGGGAGGGTGAAACCCTCCATGGAGGATTTCCAGAGTCTGTCATTTCATCCAGGGCATGATCAAGGCCCTCCCCCAAGAGTCCAGGCTGAGAGAGCATCCCTCAATGTAGGATGGGCAGAGCATACTTTTCTTAATTACCTTGGATGGACATCTGCAGCTCTAATCTTGTATATAACTGTCATGTTTCAAACTTACGTTCTATCTACAAAAGGCCTTTAGTATAGTTTGAACTTGCTCTGAGGTAAAAATGAGCTAATTGTGTGCAGTAGTCTGAGCAAGAGAACAAGGCAAGTTGTTAAGAGTCCAGTCCTTTGGGACAAAAATATTCAGTTGTAAAGCATGCTTCATTATATATCTATATATCAGAATTATAAAGCTAAATAAAAAGTCATCTTCCAGACCATCCACAGATAAATTTGCCCAGTAAACAATGAATGCACTGTAGTGCTGTGGGGAAAATGCGCAAGCTGTAATTTGAAGGAAAGAGCTCTTCACACAAGAAGCCACCAATGGGGACAGCTAGCACATTCAGAGGGCAACATTCCTTATGGCCCTGCTCAATAAGGCATCACCATCATATGTGTATATTCTTGTGGCAATATTCCTCATAGTGTTACTAAATGAGGTCTGTATCTCCATGAGATATATGTATCTCTGATGGGTTGACCCCTAAAGTACGTGCTTAATTCTTCCTGCATAATACTGCTGTCAGTAGCAGCTAGTAAGAGATCTTAAGTGTTATTTTAAGGATAGACACTGCAGCATACAATTTTGACTCCAGACATAAGGTAGTCCAACTTTCATAAAGTTGCTGTGTTATGTGCTTCTAATATGATATGGTATGTGTGAATATATTTGATATTCTGTATGCCATGTGTCTAAAATCTTAGATCTTAAAAAGGGTATTGCCATGACAAGACAGCATGCGCTAAGTAATTTACAGAAGAAAGAGTTTATTTGGACTCATGGTTTCAGTAAATTAGAATCCATAGCCTTCACAGTGTGGGAAATGGCAGCAGGCAGAGAGGATTAACAGGGAATAACCTGGACTTTTGAAATCTCAAAGCCAACCCCAAGTGGCATACCTCCTTCTTGTAATGTCAAACCCCTTCCCAAACAGTTTACAGTTAACAGTTCTACCACCTGAGAACCAAGTGTGAACATATATGAGTTTATAGAGGTCATTCTCATTCAAACCACCACAGAAGAAGATGGAAGATTCATGGTCATCAAATGTTGGTCTAGAATAACGGAATAAACAGTTATGGAATTAAATGAAATAAGGAATAAAACAAATGGAGTAAGTTTGGAGAGGAAACAAGATGTGCTCCACTCTAGATGCATTGATTTCTAGGTACTATGAAGTTTCGTGGTAGAATTATCTAGGAGCAGGTGGCTGGGGCAATAGCTCGTTTTTTAAGAGCATTAGAGTATCTGTTGCTCTTGCAGAAGACCTAAATTCATTTCCCAGTATTCATGTCAGGCAGCTCATAATAACATTTAACTCCAACTCTAGGGAATCAAACTCCCTCTTGAGGACTTCACAGGTACCTGCACTCATGCACACACACACACACACACACACACACACACACACACACACACATACGCAAACGCACACACACACACGTGTACATAATTAAAAGTAAGATATTTTAATATGAATCATCTAGTAGTTAAGTAATATATAAAAGTGAATTTAGAAGCAAAATAAGTTTGATGAAATTTGAGAAATACATTTAATATCATTACTTGGCATGTATATATTTGATTTTGAATCATATAGAACATGATTTTATAATGAAAATATATCTTTGTATTAAAACTAAGGGGAGTGTCTCAGGAGGACTATGAGGACAGTCCTGTTTACCAATATGAGACGAGCATATGAGAGTTGACAAAGCAATAAAATGGGCATTTTTCTTTACGATGTTGTGTAGGAGAGGTAAGTGATCAGGCATCATTCAGCAGTGGTTAGATGGATTGTGCTGGATAGATTTTAAGTCAACTTGGCACAAGCTAGAGTTATCTGAAAAGAGGGAAACTCAACTGAGAAAATGCATCCATAAGATCAGGTTAGATGGCATTTTCTTAATTAATGATTGATGCGGGAAGGCCCAGCCCATTTTGGCTGGGTCCATCCCTGAGCTTTTCATCCTGAGTTTTATGAGAAATTAGATTGAACAAGCCATGAGGAGCAAGTCAGTAAGGAGCATTCCTCCATGGCCTCTGCATCAGCTCCTGCCTCCAGGTTCCTATCCCATTTGAGTTCCTATCTCAAATTCCTTCAGTGATGAATAATGATATAGAAGTGTAAACCAAATAGATCCTTTTCTCCCAAGTTGCTTTTGTCGTGGTATTTTGTCACAACAATAGTAACCCTAGCTTAGGGATATTTTCAAAATTCATATATCTGCCTCTATGCATATGACATAAAGTAAGATGTTGGAGGTGTCATTCCAGGCTGTGACAATTTTTATTTCTTAATGTAGCCCAGCTTTCCCCCAGGACTGAGAACACAACAGATACTCAATAAGCCTTGAGTAAGTAAAAACACAGGAGCTCTAGGTTGGAAAGGCATCATGGTGCCAGAGCTGGCAAAAGGAATCAGGTACTACAGTCTTGTTGTGACTGGCATGAAAGGTTCTCTATGAGGTAAGGCATCACCAGAAACAGAGTCTAGGAGAGCAAAACTAACTACTAACAGTGTCAATATCATAAGCATTGGCATTTTCAGTTTACAGTTTGCCAAGTGTTGCAGTAAAAAGCTTGCATACACTGTCATAATGCATTAGTGTATCAACTCTATGATGTATAAAATTGGTCTGAACATGGTAATGAAGTGGGAAGTTTAGGTGGAGGCTTAGTGTAGAAGCATGATTTGTTGTACCTGGGACATTGGCTACAGGTCAAGTTAGAACTGGATTTGATTATTCAAAGGTTTAGCTTTGTGTTCCAAGTTAAGGACAACCAGAACTACTAGCTGTAGAGACAGAAAAATGCTGGATCTTTTTTGGAACATGACTTGGACTCTTAAGTTGTAGAACTTGTGTCTTGTACGTGACCCTTCCATTTATAGCTGTAATCATACCTCTCTCTATATCAGTCTCTCTGCAGAGATTGCAAACAACAATCCAATACTGTAAATGATCATCAGTAGCACCTGTGGAGATCATGAAGCTGAAACCAGGGCTTTATCTCAGGCCAGTAAAGTAAGAATCATTTTGGTTGGCATCCTGGCATCATAGGCATCATAAGCAGCCAAGTTTGAAAAACCACTGGTATAAACAAACATTTCTAATAGAAGTGTCCTTTATTGTTCCAGATTTGAATGATAGTCTTAAAGGGGCATTATATGCTTTTGTGTTTTATTTTATTATTTAACAAAGTTTTTTAAGTGCTTGTGTGTGTGTGTGTGTGTGTGTGTGTGTGTGTGTGTGTGTAGTGACTGTGGAAGCCAGAAGCCAGAAGAAGGCATCACATCATATGGAGCTGGAGTGTTTGTTAACTAACCTACATGGGACATGGGTGCTCGTAATCAAACACAGGTCCTCCACAAATGCCCTTAACTCTGGCGGAGCCATCTCCAACTCCTTATTTTTATTACTAAATGATTTTTCTGATTAGAAGGTTAAGATAAATTTAGGATGGGAAATTTGTAAAACACAAAAGTACAATGAGAAAAGTAGAATAATCAATGATAACTAATGTCCATTTACCAAATATATTGGATTTCATTTTAACTCAATTGAACAGATTTCTTAAACTGCAAATAAATGCTTATTGGATGGAAGAGTTAGTTATCATTTTCTGACAATGTGATAGAAACATGACTAACAGCACAGCATCTGACTGTTCCATTTAAAAGTTCCTTTTGAATGCATAGAGACATGTGCAGAAAGAGTCTGTGAAATTAGTTTAAATTGCCAGAAATTAAAACTGGGAAGAGAGCTAAAACTTCTATTTGTAGGGTTGATCATTTTGTTGCTATGCTAGGGGAAGATACAGCTTTCATATATAGTCTTTAATGCAGTTAAGTATCTGGTCCTTTCAAAGAGATTGACTTTCCACTGAGTCCTCTATTGAGTCATGGTCTTCCAGTAAAAGAAAGTGGCAGGGGCTTAAGATGAGTTGTCTGTGTCAGACTTGATTCAACGCTGAAGGAAACCAATCCATTAAAAATGTGTACGTAAGATGCAATATACTGCACAAATCTATGTGCTGTCTCAGATTTGGTTTTTCTCTCGCATGTCGGAAGCTCTGATGGTTTCCTATGGAAACTTCTGATGTTGCTTCTGTTGGATAATCCACTGCTGCCACCACTCATCTTCCAACATCTGACAGAATTTCAACCCTTCCCACAGAAAAGGTAGTGGTCCTGGAGATGGAACTCCATTTTATTGAATCCCAAGGAGATCTGACTCTCTCAACTAGTACTGAATACAGAAAAAGAACTATCCACACTGCTGAGGAAAATTCAGATCCAAAGGTGTTCATGGTTCAACTCTATTGCTTTGTAACACTCTATAAGCCTGGTGGAAGCAAAGAAGACATATTTTTAAGAGCACTCAGGGTGAATATACAACCTCAACCTTATGAGTCTGGTAGATACACCAGGCAAAATGAATTCACACTGCTAAAAATAATGAGCAACACAACATGACAAGGCAACAAAAGATACAATAAGAGGTATTTTTCAAGAAGTCCACAGCATGGGATGATCAAGTGGTGAATAGATGTTTTGCAGGAACACTTTCTAAAATAAAGTTTCAAAAGCAAGATGCTCATATGGTAGACAGTCTCAGAATATATTAATAAAGTATACAGAAAATAAGAAAAAATGCAAATGATCTGGACACAAAATCTGAATTTTGCTAGACACATTCCTAGTGTTAGCTGTCAACCTCACAGAATCTTGTACCACTTGGGAGATGGGTCTTTGGATATGACTGTGGGGGACTATTTTGACAATGTTAATTGAATTGAGAAATCAGACCTGCTTTGCAAACACCATTACCTGGATGGGATCCTGAACTATATAATCGAGAAAAATAGAGTAGCAGCATGCATTAACTCAACATTATCTGTTTCCTGAACGTGGATGCAATGGGACCAGGTGCCTCACACTCTGCTACCTTGAATGACCAGCCATGATGGATTTTACTCTGGAAATGTGAACCAAAATAAATTCTTTTTCCCTTTGTGACTTGTCAGGGTATTCTATGAGATCAACATGAAAAGAACAAAGAACACGGGCAGAAAGTGTCAAACATGTTTGGAGTCATCCTAACTGAAATACAGGAATCTGGAATGTTTATTAATTTAATATCATACTTCACAGGATAAAAGCTGATTATGGAAATGCAGACTCTTTTGCCCATTAAGTTTACTTTGTGCATGGAATGAGTATGATCCTAGTGTTAGGAAAGCATAACAGGCAAGAGAATTGTGGACATCATTTACCAGACAGCACACATAGTGTTGAATGTCAAGGTTTATGAACAGAAATATGAAGATCCAATTTATAAGAATGCATAAGATGTAGATGCTGCAATAATGACATTTAAAAATAAACAACTACATTACTATTCAAAAACAACTCAAGATATATATATATACATATATATTTATTTATTTAACTTTTTATGCATGTCACTTTCAGTTCCTTCTCCTTCCCCCCTCCCCCAGGCCCCAATCCTCCCAACCCCTCATCCCCACTCCATCCCCACTCAGCTCTCCATGGAGGGCAAGGGCCTCCATGAGGGATTTTCAGAGTCTGTCACATCATCCCAGGAAGGGCCCAGGTTCTTCCCTATGTGTCCAGGCTGAGAGAGCATCCTTCCACGTGGTAGGGGTTCCCAGAGTCCTTCTGTATGCTAGGAATAAATACTGCTCCACTCTCCAAGGTCCCACAGATTTCCAAGGCCTCCTCTCTGTCACCCAGGTTCAGTGGGAGGGTGAGTGGATCAGTCTCATGCTGGCCCGTCAGTCATCAGTCTGGGGTCCATGTGTTCCCCCTTGTTTAGGTCAGCTGCCTCTATGGGTTTCACCAGCCTGATCGTGACTCCTTTGGTCATCACTCTTCTTTGCAAATGGGTTCCAGGAGTTCAATTTGGTTCTCAGTTGTGGGTATCTGCCTCTGCCTCCATCAGCCACTGGTATATAAGGTAGTCATCATTCTTATTATCATTGGAGGGCATTTAAGGTAGCCTTAATGCCAGTTGATGTCATTCTTGTAGATCTGTGAAGATCTCACTAGTGCCAGGTATCTCCTCCAACTTATACTGGCTCCCTCTTTTATGGTATCTCCCATCCTTTTCTCCTCTATTCTTACCATGGCTCAACCTTCCTGCTCTCCCATGTCCTCCTCTCCCCTCCTCTTTTCTCCCTCTCTTTCTCCCATCTCCTTCTACTCTCCTCTCCCCCCACTAAATCCAATTAGGAGATCACATCCCCTAACCCTTCTCCAGGTTACCATGCATATCTCTCTTAGGGCCCTCCCTGCACCCCAGACTCTCTGGCAGTGGGATTGTGGGCTGGCAATGCCCTGCTCCATGTCTAAAATCCATATATGAGTAAGTACATACCATGCTTGTCTTTTTGTGACTGAGTTACCTCACTCAGGATGGTTTCTTCCAGTGCCATCCATTTGCCTGTAAATTTCAAGATTAAATTTTTTTTCTGCTGAGCAGTACTCCATTGTGTAAATGTACCATATTTTGCCTGTCAACTCTACAGTTGAGAGGCATCTAGGTTCTTTTCAGGTTCTAGCTGTTACAAACAATGCTGCTATGAACATAGTTGAGCAGATGTCCTTATTGTATGAGGGTGCATGTTTTTGGTATATGCCTATGAGTCAAATTGCTGGATCTTGTGGTAGACTGATTTCCATTTTCTGAGGAATCTCCATACTGATTTCCAAAGTGGCTGCACAAGTTGGCATTCCTACCAGCAATGGCGGATTGTATCCCTTTCTCCACATAATCTCCAGCATAAACTGTCATTAGTGATTTTGATTTTAGCCATTGTGACTGGGAGTGAGATGGTATCTCAGAGTTGTTTTGATTTGCATTTCCCTAATGGCTAAAGATGTTGAGCACTTTCTCAAGTGTCTCTTGGCCATTTTGGACTCCTCTATTGAGAATTCTCTATTTAGTTCTGTATCCCATTTTTTAAATTGGATCCTTTGGAGACTTGCTTCTTGAGTTCTTTGTAAATTTTGGAGATCAGCCCTCTGTCAGATGTGGGGTAGTGAATATCTTTTCCCATAATGTGTACTGTTGTTTTGTCCTGTTGATTGTATCCATTGCCTTACAGAAGCTCCTCAGTTCAGGAGGTCCCATTTATTAATTTTCTTCTTAGTGTCTATGCTACTAGTGTTATGTTCAGAAAGCTGTCTCCTATACCAATTTGTTCAAGGGTACTTCCCACTTTCTCCTCTAAGAGATTCAGTGTGACTGGATTGATGTTGAGGTCTTTGATCCATTTGGACTTAAGTTTTGTGCACGGTGATAGATATGGATCTATCTGTTGTCTTTTATTTGCCAGCGTCCAGTTATGCCAGCACCATTTGTTGAAGATGCTTTCTTTTTCCATTGTATAGTTTTAGCTTCTTTGTCAAAGATCAGGTGTTCAAAGGTGTGTGGGTTGATATCAGGGACTTCGATTTATTCCATTGGTCTACCTGTCTGCTTTTGTACCAATACCAAGATGTTTTCAGGACTACAGTTCTATAATAGAGCTTGAAGTCAGAGATGGTGATGCCTTTAGAAGTTCCTTTATTGTACATGGTTGCCTTGGTTAACTTGTGTCTTTTGTTTTTCCATATAAAGTTGAGGATTGTCCTTTCGAGGTTGGTGAAAATTTTTGCTGGTATTTTGATAGGAATTGCATTGAATCTGTAGATTGCTTTTGGTAAGATTGACATTTTTACTACATTGTTCCAACCTATCCAAGAGCATGGGAGATCTTTCAATTTTCTGGTATCTTCTTTAATTTCTTTCTTTAAAGACTCAAAGTTCTTGTTATACAGGTCTTTCACCTATTTAGTTAGAGTTACCCCAAGATATTTTATGGTGTTTGTGGCTATTGTAAAGGGTGATGTTTCTCTGATTTCTTTCTCATACCATTTATTGTCTATATATAGTAGAGTTACTGATTTTTTAAGTTCATTTTGTATCCTGCCACTTTGCTGAAGGTGTTTATCAGCTGTAGGAGTTTCCTAGTAGAATTCTTTGGGTCGCTTACATAGACTATCATATCATCTGCAAATA